CCATATAAAGACCAAGAAGTACTGAAAGAAAAACTTATTGTCTACAAAATTTCTGAATTACATGCTACTCATCTTTTGAGTTTAAATGTCTTTATACGCTGCTTTACACTGATATGTCTTATCCTGAACGAGGCTGCATTTCACGTGCATATTCAGTCTTGCAAACTATGACTCATTCACCCCTACAATGCCTGAATGTTTTTTTCTTCCTCTGGATGTCTCCTATGTTCAACTCTGAGTCAGTTTAAATTAGGCAGTTTCAAGATTGCAGCTGTTCTGCACTGCAATATTTATTTCAGGAAAATACTGTGCTACAATACAAAGTGTGGTTAAAATACATCACAGTAACTATTCAGTAAGCATGCACACCCACTAGGACAAAAAGTCCCAGGGGGAGTTTTTCTAACTAACTCAATGCTTTGGGTTAATGTCTTCTATCTAGAGCTAAATGATGTGCTTGGAAAGGCAAACATGTTTTTGGAAAAGTCCTTCTCTTGACAAAAATCTCGCCTAGCTGTGTCTCCCAATTGTCTCAAAACTTCTCTAAAATTAAGATGTATAAGTGCAAGAGAAGTGCAACCCCACTGATGATTCATATACATCCAGTGTTCTCCTTTAAACCACAGATGATGCCTTTTATAAAGCTGATCTTTCATATTATAGGGAGTTCTGAAGACTGTTAGGATGCCTAGAACTGCTACAATAATAAGGAAGGGACAGGTGGAAAGAATGACTACTGCAGTCTTTTGTCAATGTAAATGTCGATAGCTGGGGAGAGAAATTCTCTGGAACTCTTGGGTGTACTGAGAGAAATACATTTGACGGACTTTTATCTTTTTGCTCCTGAAAACCTTTTGGCTACTTCTATGATAAGCAGAGGTGGAACAGACATCTTGCTGTCAGAATTTTGTTTTTGCAGCAGTTGGTATTGGGCACAATATAATGAACTGCATATGAACTTGACATACATACAAGGCAAGGATGACAGACTTGCCAGACAACGAACTGGAAAAATGCCTATCGGTGAGTGGAAGCTTGGGTATTTCCTTTTCAATGTATTTTTTTTTCCTGAAGAGTTCAGGAAGTGATAATTTGCACAATAAAGAAAGAATGCAAATCGCATGGACTTACTGTAATTTATTTGAACAGTTCCTATGAGAACTACAGAGCTATGATCTATATGGATCACCTTGGAGAAAATGTGCTAATAATAAAAAATAATTAAACCACACACACAAGGTAAGTTGGCATATAGAGCATTATGCATGTACTTTATAGTCTTTTAAACCCTTGCTTATGGTGTTATGAGCAGTATAGAATCTTATTTTCATGTTTTGTCCTTAGGGTTTCATGCTTTCTGAAAACAATGAATGCCTGAAATTCTCTTTCTTACATTTTCTAGCCAGAATTTTCTTTCTGAAGAATCTGGAGAAAAATCATTAATATCTAATACACTCCTAGAGACCAAGCTCTTTCTTGAGACAGTGACATTACTGCAGCTGTATTTCTCTGCATTCACAGCAAGTGCATCGTATCAAAAGGTGTATTATGACACAGCCAGCACTTGGAAGTAGGCTATTTCTTAGTAGAGACTGTGATCTGTAGCCGGAAAACTGAAGAAATCCATGATTTGATACGATTTAAAATTGGAGATACTGAAGACAGCAAATTCAAGCAGATTGTCAGTCTTTGTCACATTATGAGCAACTCACAACAGAGATAGTTTGTTGGGGGCAGGAATATTTTTCATCACTGGCTAAAGAACAAAAATTCCTGAGTTTTAATTCATACATCCGGAAAGCTGTAGAACTATCCAAGGACAAATATGAAGCTGCTGAAATACTAAACAATTAAAGGAAATCCCAGCCTAAATCATAATCTCTAGGTGGAAAGTGTAAGAAAAAGAAGTATCACTGGATGCTCATTCTACTCTTTTTCATTGCCTATTTTTGGTGAAATCTGCATACTTTGGAAAAAAGATATTTTGTGGGTTCAGTTAAGAGAATTCAGCACACATACCTAGGTCTCTTTGAGAAGCATCAGTAACAGTAAAGCAGCTGAAAAACTGAGAAGTGTTTTTATCAAGGTGCTTTAAAATTCTGATAGAGTGCTCATTTCTTTCTGTTAGTGACAGAGATACAATTCTTCTGCTTAGCACTGATTAATTGTAGTTAAGATCCGGGTACATTTTTAAAGGCTTCCTCATTATGCTCAAGTATCATCACCACGAGCACAGACTCTGCTAACGAGTCTGTCCCCTCTTTCCTGTAGCTCCCCTTTAGATACTGAGGGGCAATTATCAGGTCTCCCTGTAGCCTTCTCTTCTCCAAGCTGAACAGCCCCAGCTCTCTCAAAATCGGTCCCATCCCTGGGATCACTCTGGATGCTTTCCAACAGATTCGTGTACTCCTGTACAAAGAACTCTGCATCAGTACTCTAGATGAGGTCTCACCACTACAGAATAAAGAGGCAGAATCATCTCTCTCACCCTTTTTGCCTTGCTTAATTCAGCCCAGGATATAGCTGGCTTTCTGAGCTGTGAGTGTACGTTGCTGGCTCATGTCCAGCTTCCCATCCACCAGTACTCCCAAGTCCTTTTCAGCAGGACTGTACTCCATGCTTACATTCCCCAGCTTGTATCAATAGTAGGGGCTGCCATGACCCAGGTGCAAGACCCCGCACTTGGCTTTGTTGAATCTCATGAGGTTCACCTGGGTCCATTGCTCAAGACTGTCCACATCACGCTGGATGGCATTCATCCCTTAGGCATGTCAGCCACACCACGCACCTTTAAGTCATCCACAGACTTGCTGAGAGTGCACTCAATCCCACCATCAATGTCATTGATGAAGATAATAAAGAATACTTGTCCCAGTACTGAGCACTGAGGGGCACCACTTGTTACAGATCTTCAACTGGTCATTGATCTATTGACCACCACTCACTGGGTAAGATCTTGCAACTGATTCCTCATCCATCAAACAGTCTACCCATCAAAACCATATCCTTCTATTTGGAAAGAAGGATATTGTGGGGGACCATAGCAAAGGCTTTATAAAGGTCCAGATAAATGATATCAGTAGGTCTTCCCTTCATACACTGTACTTATTACTGGCAAGTTCTGTTGCACAAACTTGCAATTCTTTTTGTAGACAAAGGTATATAGTGGAAAGAGTATGAAATTTCTCTGGTTCATTTAAAATTTTATTAGACACAACTTGCAGAGATACACTCCAGATAACTTTTGGTAGTTTATCTCTGATCTGTTACTCCTTACAGTTACCAAAATAAACTGTTTATTCCTGAGGAAAAGGACAGAAATTCCATTCCTTAATACACTATCCAGATATAAACTGCCACCCTTCTCATTGTTGCTGACTTGCCAAAAAGCATTAAAGTTGACATTTCATATACTTAGTGATGTGGAAGACTGAATTATTTGCATGTGCCAAGTCTGAACTTAGTTGCTTTTCAAATAAATTAAGCTCAGTATTTAATCTTATTTCACAATGATCATCTCATTAGACATATTCATTTAAAAAATATTAATCTTTTTATGTAACAGTTTAAAAAATTCTTAATATATATATATATTTCAATCTCTATTAGAGCAAGAAACTGATTTTAGTCATAGCATTCTTTAATTTTTATATTCTTGTAATGTAGTTTGGAATTTGTATCCCTACCAAGCTAAAAACATAACATTTCCCATTAGGCTGTATCTTGGTGGCTGATGCGTGAAAATCAGTTTGTTTCTTTTCATTCAGGTACCTAAATCAATATTTGGATATTTTGTTTTAAGTGCCAACTTTGAAGGTAATTAGTCTTCCATAAAATTAGTGTACCATTTCTAAATATTCTTCATATCTATCTATTTTTTAAAAATCCGCACAAAAATTGCTGTAAAAAAAACACAGGTCCAAATCTCAAGATTTGAATATTCCTAAATTTTGGGGTTTCCTGATGAAAATAGGTGTATCTGATTATGTTTTTTATTAATGGTCAAACCAAAACCTCATAGAATTCTTCAAAAAGCAGACATTTGAAATTCACCAGAGAATATTTATGTTAAATGTCTTAAATATACATCTAGAGACTTGATCAGCTATATATTTAAGAGGGAAATAGCTAAAATCAGGTTCTACAGAATTGTTTATATAAATGTATGAATTTGCATTTTACTGATTCCAATTCACTCTCCATTAATTCTGTAACAGAATCCTCAAGTATTTGGCTATCATTTTTAGGGGTGTTACTATTGCTATTTATTATTTTTAGCAGCAGTGCTTACACATTCCATCAAGGATTTACCACTGCAGTGTATTAAAACTATTCAAACAATTAACTCAATGTCTGTTTATGTTCCAGGGATCTCATAATTTAGACTGGGGTGTGGAAAGGAAAAGAATTGGCAGAGGAAATATAAAACGCACTCATTAAAATAGCAGTCCTGCTGCCTTGCAAGTTCCTCAGAATAGCTGAGAGTCAATGAGAAATACTTAAAAATCTTCATACCCTAAGTCAGTGTACTAATGAAATGGTGTTTTTTTAAAAGCTTCCTTCACACTTTTATTCTTTATAGGAAATTACTACTGGATGTAAGTGCTTTGGAATATTTGAGAAAGTTCTTTAACATGGAAAATAAGTAAAGGGGAAAAAAAATAAAAAGGAATTGCATTTCTCTGCCACCAAATATTTTGGGGTTCAAAAAGTTTCAGGGAAAGAGGAGATTTGGTATTGTTCTAAGTCAATTCACTCTGGCTGAGGAAATGACGAGAAGGAAACTATTTCTCTGTCTCAGGAACCATGTGGGGCTTCAAGATAAGGCAAGCATTTGCTAATTCGAGTCCACAAGCAGGAAATGTGATGCATCCATTTCCTTTCAGACAAAAAAACCCAGTTCCCTAGCAGCACAAAAGCATTACTTCTACCACTAAATCTCAATCATTCAGAAATCCATTGCTGCACTTTGGACATACTATTTTATATCTGTCTTTTGGATGTTATGGATAAGAACAGTACTTACTCACCAGTTTCATGGCCACCAAAGTTTTGGGGTAAGGTTTTTTTTCTTCTTCTGGAATATCATTGAAATAGATGCTGAGATTAGTTGTTAATTGCCTTAGAAAAAAAGATTGGATTTCACTAGCACTTCTTGCAGTGCAAAAGATTGTTTACCAAATGCTTCTCCGACAAAGTTTTATCATGAGTTTTGACTAATCAAAGCAGTAGGAACAACTAGGGCAGAATTGATTGTTTGACAAAGCCCCTTACTGAAGTCAGTGAAAAGGTCTATTGACTCAAGCGTGTTTCAGATCAAGTAGACATTCTGAACTGTTTAATGGATGTACCTACATGACAGGCATGATTTGTTTCATCTACTGATGAAAAAGACGGAAACCAAAATGTTGCAACCTTTGTAATAAATTCTCAATCTAGTAGAATGTAACAAGATTGGTAGTTTTCTATGGTATCTCATGATCAGATTTCTCTTACTTTTTCCTCAATGTATTTTCCTCAGTATTTTTCTTATCATCCATTATCACCATTTTCCTCCATCCAAGCTTGGCAATGATTAGTTAACTGATATGTATACAGCGTGCAGTAAAAATGTATGTTATCCTGAAACTCAGTAGACGTAGTTAGATTTAGCTAATTTGCAGAGAACCTTTCCACTCAAAAAGCTCTATCAACTCCTTTATTTAGCATTAACATGTATTAGCATTAGCAGGTATTGTAAAAATGTATCATATGATCTGTTTTTATCTCTCTTACCATTATTATCAAGCAATGGTCAATTCAAGAATCTGTGCACTGTGCCAGGATAAAAAATAGTATGCACTAGCAAGAACCAATACTAGGAATTTTGTTACATGGAAGCACCCCAGAAAAAAGTGGAAAATAACTATATAAGAAGATTTAGAGAAGTTCCTTCTGTTCCTTAGCATGTGATGCAAGAGTCTGCTGAATGCCCAACATATATTTCCTGTGCTGACACATATACTTTCCTACTGGGAGGTCACAAGCAACTCATTGCGTTTTTGTACCTTAGGTTAGAAAGTGGAGTAATGATACTGGATGTCTTTGTAAAGCACTTTGATATTAAGTGAGGAAAAATAAATACTGTTATTAATGTTTAGTCTTTTATTATCTGATGGACTGTAAGTATTTGTGGAACAGAATTACTTGTAATTCTAAAATGTCACTTTCAGAACAAAAATGGAAGTACTGTCATCTGTGCTTTAAGAATCCTTTTGTAAATGTCCTGCCTGTTCTTAATACAGACTTGATTTAACCTGACACAAATTATTCATTCACAAGAAACAGGAAAAGTATATATAACTCACTAACAATATAACATATTGTTATTGTATTATTGTATATAACAATTCACTAACAGTAACACCCAGATTTTTTGCAAGGTGTCCTCCATCTTCATGATGAGTCAGAAAAGGTACACAAAAGGTACTTAAGAAGTGAACTTAAATTCCACAGCATATTGTATTCAAGGGACTACATTGGTGCTGCTTAATTCAGTTATTTCATTCAAGGCTTCTCACCAGGTGTGCCAAACCCTGATATTTCAGTGCCAAGAGCTGTATCTGATGACACAGAGCAGCACATGCTTGAGCTGTTTTTACTGCAGAAAGGGCCAGCATTGGTTCTCACTGGAATTATACACCTAGCTTGCCAGAGACTGACTTTTCTCCAGCCATGATCAGCTCCTTTTTGCCTGTACTCTAATAGCAGAGAAATCTTTGAGAAGAGCTCACACGACTTAGGAAGCAGAGATGCTTCACATGTTCTTCTTATTTTTCTGATTGAGTTTAGAAGAGTTAATAGCTTTCCTCTTCCTTTCCTTTAGATGTATCACATGCAGTATACTAGGGAGGGATACTACACTGTTCCATACAGTAGCCAGCATCAGAAGACTATGACTGATACAAACTCACTGCAGGAAAACATTGCTTAAAATGATAGAAATGTGTTTGCTGACATCCTTGGAAATGTGTGAGGTAAAAATAAAACTACACATATTAGATATAAATATATATTTTATTAAATGAGTATGCAACATTTGAAGCTATTTGGTGTTTTTTTTTTCAGGATACGGTTTACAGTTTGTTTCATCTTTTTTAACTCACTTACCATGTTCTGCTGAGAATGTGAATACATCACCAAGATGCAGATCCTTGTCCATGCATAGGTGACTTCTCAGTAGCTCCCAAGGACTCTACCAATATGTAAACTTCAGAGTGTGTGCAAAAGCTCATGAGAGGAAATTAACTTCCTGGGGAAAAAATAGATGCTGTAAAAATTGTTAGAGGAATTTACATTTAATTTCTCACAATTCAGAAAGAACTTACTGTCCAACAGCTGATTCTCTATTCTGGAAAATGTACAGGCATCCTGTTTTCTGAAGGCATCCAGTTTCCAATGGAAATTTCTTAAAACAGCGTCTTAGAAGTAACCTAAGAATTTCAAATCATTGAACAAACTAACTGTTCTCTAATTGTATGTGAATACACAAACATTTTTATAATATCTTCAGTCCACAATTCTGTTAGAAACACACACATGCATCCATATAGGACTAATAACCAAGATTTATGCATAACTTCGTATAAGTCATGATATGCAAATAACTTAAAGTAGCCTAAATCTTCTATCACAACTCATTTCAAGTACTTAACAGGTTAAAAAAGAAATGATAAAAAAAATATAGCACACTTTTTTTTGTAGGTTCAGTATAAAGACAATGACTATGCTGGAGAATTATTAGCATCTTCATCTGCAGATCCTGCAAGTCCTAGTTCTTTTCAATTCAGGTTTCACTGTCATCATTCTGCAGCATTTCTGAAATGCTAAAATTATGCAGCAATATAAAACAGAAGAAACAAAACAGTAGTTCTTCTGGCCTAAAATCAATTCTGGCAGACAGAAATATAAAAGGAATGTGACCGCTCTCTTTTAGTTTAAACTCATCATTCTCTTGGTAGAGATACTGACCTTGTGAGCAAATGCAGTCTGTAAGCACAACAAGCACGGAAGAGAACATGCTGGAACTCACAAGTTTGTTTCATTCTCTGGAATTCTGATTCTCATTTTTTTTGGTAGTTCCCTACTACAGAGGTTTCACAGACTCTTCTTACGCGCATTTGTTTTTTTCAGAGAAGTTTGCTGTGAGAATGCAGGAGCATTCCTCTTTTAGAGACCAGCTTTCATGGAGCCGTGTAGCCTCTGCAGTCTTATTTTGCTGTAGGTCTCCATAGTACGGTACTTTGGCAGAGATAGAAGCACTTACAGACAGCCTCTGCCGCAATTCAGCACTGTTGGTGTCACGTGGGACTGTAAACAAAGTCTGCATTAGATTTTTATTGGTAGTCAGTCTCAAAGGGAGATTTGTCGTGGCATTAGCTAAGTGAGAAATTCAGCTTTTGGTACCCATCCATCAACTACTAATCTCATTTTTTATTGTTTTAATATAGTCTTTATTGAGTTCATTTTGATTTGTAAGTGAACAGTGGAAACAAAGATGTTTCAATTTTAACCAGGAGTGCATTTCTTGTAATTCCTAAAACATTTTCAGTCGCACACAATTAAATACAACAAATGGCTTTGAGACGATCCTATTCCTCCAGTGTAAATGGTAAAATACTTTCAGATCAGGAAATTCAATTTAAGTAGTACGTTTGATCTGTTGAATATTACAACAGCAGAGAGAAAAAAATGTAAGTACATCTTAATCGGCATAAACTTGGATTCCTAGATTATAATCTAGTCTAGTTTTACTCAAATATCTATTTAAGTAATACAACATTAAAATTAATTCCATTAAAACTATTAAGAAGATTTTTTTTCCCCTGAGTTATAATCTCAGGTGTTATCTGTCTGGTGTACGGAAAAGAGTGTTGTGTGCTCAGCTGGCATTCAGTATTTTAAGACTGAGAACTGTCTGGCACTGTCACTGTAAGCGTTATGCCTTGACTTTTATAAGCTAAAAATGATTTTATATATAATGTCAAGTTTTCCTTGTCTTTCTCTTTTGTCTGTCCACTGATCTTCCCCTCATTAAAATGTGCTTATTTGCTTTAAAGAAGTCACTCTATATAATCTGCAGGAAAATACAAGTAAATCATTCATAGAAACAGAATCACAGAAATACTGGGGTTGGAAGGGATCTCTGGAGGTCATCTAGCCAAACTCCTGCTCAAGCAGGCCCATCCAGAGTAAGTTGCCCAGGACAATATCTAGGCAGTCTTTGAAAATTTCCACAACCTTTCTGATTTAACCTTGAAGGCTTCCACAGCCTCCGTGCACAACCTGTTAATCAGTATATTCTAATATGCTGCGTTGTGTTACCAGTCTAGCAATAATAGCTGTTAAGGATTTAGAATCATGGAATTACTAGGATTTAGAATTACATAGAATAGATTTTGCACTGTTCTCTTGTTTTATGAACTGAAATACTACTTGTGAATGGCAGCACTGACAAAAACTATAGCACAGCTCTCAAACATAGGGAAGTCTGACCTAAATGGCTAGGTCTCACATTTGTTCTGTATCTCTTCATCCGACAAACAATGACTACATCCTCAGTGATGATTTTGTCACTCAGACTTCCCAGAGTTCTAAATCATGCACTTTGCTAATGATTCTGTTGTTTAAGACTTGAATTTCAGAGTCCGATTGATGTGTGGCTCATCAGGGATACTGAGCCACCTCTTGCAACTTGCAACTCAGGGTTTCACCTCACAGTATGTGAGGATGAAAGACTTAAATCCTGTGCAGATTTCTGTCCCCATCACAGTGAGAACCAACTGCGTGTAAACAAACCTTCCATCCACCTCTCCCTCTTACTCTTCCCTAATCATATAAATGGCTTAGATCCCTGCTGGGTCTTCATTGCTTACCTAACTTTCCATCATCTGCTTAATGCTTTCTCCTTTACTTTTTCAATCTTAAGCCTTGAAGTTGTAGAAGTTGTACACCTCCAAAACTACCTTTCTAGTTTATACCTGTGTACGTAACCTTAAAGACCTCTAGTAGCAAATAG